CTCAAGAGCTTGGGACAGGAAGACCAATCCAGAGTTTGCTAGATTGTGTGGTGTAGAGTCACACGTCTGTCTTGAACAATTATCGAGAAAGCAGTCTAGTTTTTGAACAGTCCCACTGAGGAGCTTCCCCTGCTTGGCAGGGGGTTGGACTCGATGGCCCTTGTGGTCTCTTCCAACTCTATGATTCTATGATTCTATGATTCAAATGAGCAATACAAATGCTGGGGTGAAAGTCAAATTGCTTTTTGATGCATGTTCCAATGTGGCTACTAGTCCACATGTATCAGAAACAAATAATGCCCCAATAACTTAAGAAGATGCCTCTGGGGTCTGATCTGCATACAGTATGGATGCAGTATACTCAACTGCAATTAGCCGACTCTCCTTCCTGCTAGTGTTATGGTGACATTCTTGTAAAAATAGGCTAACAATTCCCCAGAGTGAATAACTGCATTTAGCTCACAATATTCCATATAATCAGGATAAAATACACTAAATTGTTTGGGGAGAAAGCCAAGGAATGGCCCAAGGTAGTAGGCCTGCATTAAAATTTTAGAGACTGTGCCTACACGCAACCACAACAGTCCAGCCTTATAGATACTACTGCATGTACTGCGCTAACAGTACATGCTTCCAGCTGCCATAATATCTGTTGGATCCTTTGTAGTAAAAGCAAGGGTCAAAATTCACTCACCAATTCATGGGTCCTCCCTTTACCTATTGATAAATAGCTGCCCCCAAAATAATGTTGTGGGTGGAGAAAATCACTTCTAGTGGAGATTGTTTATTTATAAAAATATCTGTGAGCAATGCAATTAAAAGCAGAAGTCCTTATTTTAGCTTTCCATGTACACATGCAAAACCATTTTAAATAAATTATTTAAAGGTGGGAATAAGAGCCAAAATGGGAAAAGTTCTAAAAAGATAAGACTCCCTTCCTACACACACACACACACACACACACACACACACACACACTATTATCATTGATATAATGATAATTGAAAATGACATTGCATTGCATAAAGCATTACTGTACTGTATTTTAATGGAGATATCATAATAGTCACCTATCTCACAAAGTACTAGTTACCAAAGCAGCAAAATAAGTGACAGGCTGAGCCAGAATGTTGTCCCCAATATGATAGTTTTCTACTTAAAATGATTTTTTAACATGGGAAAGCATTCTATTCACCTTTAATCTCATCTAGTACTGTCTATTAAACCACCTCTTTATTCTATCACCTTATTAATACATCTGCTGCACATGCAGACTCATGATGCTTAGGCCAGTGATCCTTAAAGTATTTCCTTTGATCATTACTTCTCCAAGCTCTCAGGCAAAGGTATTTAACTATCTTGCTATCTCAGATGCAGGTATTATAACTGGAGATTCTTGTTAATAAACCAGTAGTTTAATACATATGTAGCATAAGCTCTAGCACAGGGTTAGCTCATGTGATCCCCTCCATTTCTAAGTTTTATACTACAACTCTCATCACCATTCTATTCTCATATGCTATTTTAGGCTGCATCAGAAGTGCAGTGTCCAGATGAACAGAAGTAAGAATACCACTCTATTCTGCCTTGGTCAGACCCCACCTGGAATACTGTGTTTACTTCTGGGCACCACAATTGAAGAAGGTATTGACAAGGTGGAACATGTGCAGAGGGCAACCAAGATGATCAGGGATCTGGAAACCAAGCCTTATGATAAATGGTTGAAGGAGTTGGGTATGTTTAGCATGGTAAAGAGGAGTCAGGGAGGAAATATGATGGCTATCTTCAAATATCTAAAGAACCGTCACATGGAATATGGAGCAAGCTTGTTTTCTCTTGCTTTGGAGGGTAGGACACAAACCAATGGCTTCAAGTTACAAAAAAGGAGATTGCAACTAAACTTCAGGAAGAACTTTCTGACATTAAGAGCTGTTTGACAGTGGAATGGACCTCCCTCAGGAGGTGGTAGACTCTCCTTCCTTGGAGGTTTTAAAGCAGAGGTTGGATGGCCCATCTGTCATGGATGCATTAGTTGAGATTCCTGCATTGCAGGGGGTTGGTCAAGATGACCCTCAGGATCCCTTCAATTCTAGGATTCTATTATCACCGACCATTGGTCATGCTGGCTCAGTCAGATGGGAGCTATGGCCCACAACAGGCACCACAGTGGCTATTCCTGATTTAGCTGCTTCTTTTCTCAGCCAACTTAGATGCCTCCACCCACCATCTGGCTGGCATCTTGCTGTCTACAATATAACCACTGAGGTCCTGATCCAAGTCTATTTAGGCAAGTATGTCTAAAGCTCTAATGAGCTTAGAAGGTGCCCCTGAGTGCCCATGAATAGGAGTGCTTTTCAAGTTTTTACAGCTCTGTGAAAGGAAAAACCAACAGGCAATTATGTAAAAAATTACTTTAGAAAAGATGGAAAGTACATTAATCTCAGACATCAAGGTCACCAAACAGCTTCTAGGATATATGCTGAAGAAATATGAAAGGTGCTCTGGTGACTGAGATAAAGGGTGGTCAGAGACAAGCATCTTTTCCCATCCACACTGTAGTATAAATGCCAAGTCGTCACTTATTTGTTGCACAAGCTCTAGACATCTTTCCTCAAGGAAGTGTATCCTTTTATGGATTTTTGTTAACCTACATACAGTACCACCATATCATAACAGCCCTCAAGGTGGTTGCCAACAGTTAAAATATAAGAAGTGAGATAAAACAGTAAATACACCAATAAATAAAACACAGCAAAGTTTATAAATCAGTGCAAATGACACAAGCAACAAGAAGAAGACCACAAGAATGGAAGCCCAGCTGCATTCAGGTACTACATAATTAAGCACCATAAAAAAACATAATTAGGCATTTCATGGTAATGGATAGTTTAGTTGCCTCCTTTAAAGTCCATAGAAAGGACACCAAGGGCCATATGACCAGATCACAACAGGGGACAAAGTTCACAAACACAAAAGTTGTTTCTCAAGTATGCCAAGTCCTGACAATTTCTGACTTTACGGGGTTTTTAAAAAAAATAATCAGAACTTTTATTTGTGTGCCCAGAAGTTTAACTGTAGCCAGTACAAGTGTACTTGTGTAATATTGTATCAGTCAACAACAAATTGAAAACTCTTGCTATGAGGCTGCAGATGACAGCAAATAATAAAAATAAATAAACTCAGCAGCTGCAAATTGTCCAAAGTAAAACTTCTGAGCAGTGGCAACTCCAGTAAGAGTGAAATTTGTTGTGGTAATTAATCTAGAGATTACCAGATCATGGCTAATTCTGGCAAAATCCCAATTCTTTAGGAGAGAGTACAAAAGACTAGGAACAGTTACAAGCTGCAACTATGGTCTTCAGGAAAGTATGATCCCATCTATAATATTTAAGTCTTGTTAGTTACCAAGTTATAATACTCTCCATCTTGTTTTAAATTTGTCCATCCTCACTCAGCTACTGCATTTCCCCAAACTCATTTGTTCCATTCTTGTGAATATATTTTACCTTGCATTTTATATATATACGCCATTTATCAATTGCTAATGAGTGGTGTGGGTGATGTAGTTGCCTAGGTAATCATGGGCATCTGCAGTCCATGTTATTAAGACACACAGATACAGTGAAAAACAAGGTGTTGTTGTTTAAATCTATATACCACTCTTCACCTGAAGATCACAAGGCAGTTTACATGAAAACACAAAATACATAATAAACTAGCAAAAACAAAACAAAGCTCCCAGACACATAACGTTGTAACTCAAAAGTTTGTTTTTTATTTATTTAGAAGCTTTTTAAATTTGCATAGTTCTTTCTGAAGACTGGATGTTGCACTAGCACCAATGGAGCCAATTGCAAAGTAAATTTATTTTACCAGGATTAATATACAGAGGTGCCTTGGTTTTCAAACATCTCTGTTGACGTACGTTTCGGAACTCAAAGGCTGAAAACCCAGAAGCAAATGCTTCCATTTTCAAATGTGCCTCAGAAGTCGAATGGCTTTCCACTGAGTGTTTCTCAATTAAATTTGCAGGCCGCCCTTTGCGCCTCGGTTTTCAAACGTTTCAGAATTTAGACGGATTACTTTCGAAAACCGAGGTGCAACTGTACTGCTTAATCATCAAAACCTCTAAGTAAATGGGTACAGGATAGGCATGTAATGGCTAGAATTTTTGTGTGCCTGATGGATCTACAAACTGAGCCAGAACAGTATATTTCAAATAGTTTTAGTGCAATGTTCCTCACTCAGGCGTAGCGTGGTTCTCAGCCCCGGCAAGGCAATAATTGCGCCCCCAATGGATTGCGCCCCCTACCTGTGATGCTAACCAGATGTTATGGTCTGACCCCCCCGCTTCGCCACTGTCTCACTGTTACTGGCTATATTTATTTTTGGATTTCCTCCTCCCAGATTATCCTAGGTATAGACTCAGACTGACAAGCTTTGCCCTGGGCGGGTTGCAATCTCTCAGTGTAGTCTACCTTCCAGGGTCGCTGTGAGGATAAAATTGGAGTGGAAGAAACAGCATGTGCTACTTTTAGTTCCTTAGAGGAAAGACAAGAAGATAGAAGCAAAACTCATAAAAATAGTTTCCAATAATACATACATACCACCTTAACCCACACCGGGGTCAAACATACAAACCGCACAGGGTCGCTTTAGCATTTCAAAAAAAGGGGGGCCTAAGCTCCATGTATGCTACTTTTGAGGTTCTTGGCTGGAAAAAAACGTAGGAGCGATAATAACAATTGATTTGAGGAACAGGCGAGCGCCGTCAACCGCTGCATTCCTATTTCAGTTGACGCGCACGCGCAGAGCACAACGCCGCCAAAAGGTACTAACGGTCTCCCGGCGACTCCGCCCACTCATCTGACTCCACCCCTCGGGGTCCAGAGCCGCGACTAACTCCGCCCCCTGCAAGTCGTTTGGCTCAGGCTCGCGCCACTGGGTGAAGAGGGCGAGGGGCGGGGCAGGCAATTTAAGCCCCGCCCCGGCCCAGCGTGCCGGCTCTGCCGTGAGCGGGATGGAGGCGAAGGCGTCTGCGCCTGCGCCCGGGCCCGCCCTTGGAAACGCGTCGGAAGCTGGCGAGCGGGCCTTGGTGACCCGGCCCGGGAAGGCCGGCGAACCCGCCGCCGCCATGAAACTGACCCGTAAGGTGGTCCTGTCCCGGGCAAAGGCCACCGACCTCAGCGGCGTCCGCAAGCTGAACTGCTGGTACGGGGAGAGAGGCCAGCGCTCACCTGGCGGCGGAGCTGGGAGGGAAGAGCCGCATTGCAAACCGGGGTGGAAGAGGGGTCCGCGGCTGACCGGCTGAGGAACGGAAGATCCGGGATTTAGAATAATGGCACCATAGAATTGTGGAGTTGGGAGGGACCCCGGGGATCATCTAGTCCAGCCCCTGCAATGCAGGAATCTCACCACGCGGTCGAAACACAAAATAAAGATGCTAAAACCGGTCCATCTCCTCCCTCCCCTGTTGTGCTGCTGCACCTGATAGGGTTGCTACAGTTTCCTCCTGGCCAGTGTCTCTTTTGGCAGCATACCTGGCACAAATCAACAGGTGTTTTGCCCCCAGCAGATACAGCCTTGGGGAAAGCTTGGCCAGCAAAATGACTTCCTGGAAGTTGGAGTCCAACAGCAACATCTGGAGGACGCATACCTGATTGCTTGCACTGTTTTCAGTCATCCAGTGTCTGGCTCCTCTTCCATTGGGACGTTTGCAACATCCCTGCATAGTATCCCCATATGTGCATAGCAAATTCTCCACTGGTTTCGGATTGTGTGGAGAGGTGCTCATGCACATATAATTGTAGACGCACTGCAGAGGTGCAGAAATACATGTGTACAGATATATGTGTACACAGGGGCTAAGGAGGAAGAGCTTGTCATTGCAGTGCCACTCGACACACTTCCATTGAATGCAGAGGAGAGCCAGAATGCTTGTAAAGGCCTTTAATTGTGTCTCTTTCACAAGTGGCTTTCCTTTGCTTGCTATAAATACTGTTTCAGCATTTTAAGTGCATGATCTGTTTTACCTATTAAAAAGATTGTTTTTCTCTTTTAGGGGCAGCCGCATCTCAGATGTAAGTGTTGTTCCTAACTTTCTAAAAAAGCAGTGAATTCGGCATGGTGTTTGCTGTTGTTGTTTTAAAGGATAGAAGCAGAGAATTTGGATGCCCCCCCCCTGTATACCTTACTTGTTGGTGTATCACAAAATTTTGCTTTCTGCTTGTCTTCAGAAGCTAATTATAGTGAGAGGATGCATAGAATCCAGTTTTCTCCTGCGTGTTTTAGTTATTGGAAAAGGGAAATGCTCCAGTCCTCCTATGATTAGCAGATATGGCAAGGTCTTCATATCAATTATAGCACTTGAATTTTCCCAGCAGAGGAAGGAATGGGGTCAGGAGTGGTTCTTAGCCGTTCCTTGTTGAAATCAAACTGAGAGAGAGAGAGAGAGAGACCAGCTCCAAGGAGGAAGCAAAAGTTAATAACTTGATCCTTTTTGCTTCTTTCTAGAACTATACTTCTATACTAGAAGTATACTAGAAATAAGGAGGTGATGAGGTGGCTTTACAGTAGCTTGGCACAAGTATCAGCAGCCACTATTTCATGCAGGAATTGCCAGTAAGTATGAAACAAAAGAGCTGTCTGGCTACCTTGAGATGCCGCCTCTCTGTGCTTTGTCTTGGCCTAGCTTTCACGGCCAACTGGGAATTACGGTATTGACATGATGGCTGTAATGGACCCAGAGCCTTCACTGCCTGTACTGATCTCCATTAAGGGATATAGCTCATGGGTAGAGTACATGCTTTTGCATTCAGAAGGTTCCAGGCTTGATCCTTGGCGCTTCAACTTAAAATGATTACTGGCAGGAAAAGATGAGAGTGATCACAGTCTTAAGACCCTAGGAAGCTACTGTTGTCAGAAAAAAGATACTAATCTTTGTAAGTAATTTGGAAGCAGAGCACCCTGCCTTGACACAGGTGGCCTTTCCAGCCCTGTAGTCCTGGGATTTATTTATTTTTTAAAATATTGGTTGATTCAGAGTTCTTTGGCCTTAAGTTAAATAAATGGTGCAAAAAAAACCCTTACAGTATGAGTGCCTAACATTTCTAACAGGCTTACTGCGTCAGTTAGCAAGCTACATGCTTCCTCCCTGCCCCACCAACAAGAGACTGCTAAAGTTTGCTAAAGCTTCTCTTCTGCTTCATTCTCTTTTTCTAGATTTCTATCTGCCGTGAGCTTCCCAACATTGAGGTGATCACGTTCAGGTATGTGTTGCAGTCTGTTAAAAGGTAATTGCTGGCTTAACAAATCAAGCCAGGGGAAATAAAAATCTCCCTTCTGAGGATGAATAGGACTCTCCCTTGAAAACCTAACCAGTCCAGGCTATTTACCATGTTGAGAATGTGTAGCATTTTGACTCTTTTTCTTCATCTTCTTACCTTGATTGGTTGTTGGGTGGCCTGCCTTCTGCCACATGCTCTTTGTATCTTTTTCATACTTGCCATCAATTCTGCTTGGAACAGATGTTATGAAACTAAATAATGCCCGACTGCCTTCTATATAATAGAATATTTTGCTTGTACCACTGTGAACATGAGCACCAGCTTAAAAATAAACTTAGATATATAGGATTTGAGATGCGCAGTACTGTACTAGCTAACAGTAAATAATTGTTGATGACCATTCTGCGTACTTTAATTGTGGGTTTCCTACATGTGCAGGTAAAAAGAGGGGATAGGCTTACATACAACACTCTGAACTCTTTTAAAAATTATTATTATAATATTTATATTTATTGAATTTATATACCCGCAGTTCTCAAAGCAGGTGACAGAATAAAATCAAAAATATAAAACCAGAAAATACATAATCAAAATAAAACAACCCAATAACACCCCCCCTTAAAAAAAACCAACCACATTTTATGAGCGCATAGGATTTCAGTCAAATCAACTGTTACAGATGCTGACCATAAGAAAGACCCTATGTGGAAATATTTAAAATATATTTGAAAGAGAGGGTGTGGTTTTTTTTAAAGGAAACCATGCAAAATATAGACAGTGTGATAAAGAGATGCAAGACTTGGTTGTAAGAAAGTTGTGGACAGCCCTGAGATCTATGAATGAAGAGTGGTATACAGATTTATAAATGAATAAAACTAAATAAAATAGTAGTATAAACAATACTGTCTGTAGTTGTCAATTAGCATGATCTCCAAACCCCATGTCTATTTTGCTGGAGGGGGTTTGGATGCAGCAGAGGTGTCCCTCCAGCCAGCTCTGCCTGGCTACACCATCTTCTGTCATTGAGGGAGCTCGAGGCATTGGTGGGGAAGCCCCACTGTCAAGGAGCTGCTACCTAATGTGACTGCCCAGATGGTGGGTTGTACCAGCAGGACCTAAGCCAGTGGTAACCAGCAGAAAGGGCGATGGGAGGGTAGACTTTGAACCAGCACTTGATCTGCTGCACCTGTGCCAACCCTGCTGCTGTCATGAGGCTTCCTACCTTCCCCCTGCAGAGAGACAGGGCAGATAATGTGTATTTCTCCCGGGGAATTGCAGTCAGATCATGAGCCTTATGCCATGCAAGCCTGATACAGATGATAACACTTGCATCTGGTTTCCAACTTTCCTTTGCTTTCTCCAATAGTGCAAATCACATCTCCAGCCTGGAGCCAATGAACCAGTGCCAGAACTTAACGGAGCTTTATCTCAGGAGGAACAATATTGCAAGCCTCCTTGAGCTGTTCCACCTGAAGAAGCTGCCCCGCCTGAGAATCCTCTGGCTCTCTGAGAACCCTTGCTGTGGTCCTGATCCTCATCGCTATCGGATGACGGTGCTGCGCAACCTTCCGAATCTCCAGAAGCTTGACAATCGGAGTGCGTATTACAGCAAATTGCCCTGCCTCTGTTAGTGTTTTGCATTTGCTGATTTTAACTTCTCTTAGGTCTACATGCCGTAAAATGCGGTGGTGGTAGAATCCTACCATTGGGGATCCCATTTTCTTAATACTACCCACGTGGGAAACCCCTTGCAAATAAAGAACTAGCCCACAAGGGCTCCCTGTGCCAGCCTTAGAGCACTGAGCTCATCTAACAAAAATGCTCCCTCTGTGTTTTTCCCCCCTGATATTTGCAGTGGTGACAGAGGAAGAACTGTCCCATTCCCTGCTGGAAGGGGAAGAGATAACGTCACCCCCGGCCAAATTGGACGTGGAAAACTTCTGCCAAAACTCCACCACTGAATCCAGTGTAACGGAGTCTACAGCAGAGAATGAAAATGAAGTCATGAACTTCACCTTGGAGGAGACAAAGTGAGAGGGGCTCTATTTTTTGCTGGTGGTATTTCTTTATTGTGACTTTATTAATACACAACGAGGGTGGGGTGGAGACCTGTGCCTCTCCTGCTATGATATCTTTATTGTCATTGTCCCATACAGAACAATGAAATTGAAAAATCTACATAAGACTTTCAAAAACCCTAAAAACTCCATTTTAAAATACAATATACTCCTATAGAGACTCCTTATACTGCGTTTAAAACCAGAATTGCATTTGGGTAGAAACTGTTTCTCAGGTAGCTAGTCCTGGTCTTTATGACCCTATACCTTCTTCCAGAAGGCAGAAGCTGAAAGAGATCATTTCTTGGGTGTGTACTATCCTGTGCTATCTTCAGCTTTCTTATGGCACCTGACAGCATAGATTGATCTAAGGTGGGAAGAGTGCACCCAATTATTCTCCAGTCTTTACAACCCTGGACAGCATTGTTTTTTCCCTGGCCGTGCAGCTCCCCAAACCACACACACAGACCATAAGTTAATACACTCTCCACAGTACAATGGTATGTTGTTGAATTCCATTTCCCATCAGCCCCAGCTAGCATGGTCAGTCATCAGGGGTGATGAGAGATGAAACACAACAACATATCAAGGACCACAGATTCCCCATCCCTGCTAGAGAATGTCCGCCTCAACACAGAGATTCTCCCTCTTCCTGTGTAAATTCACATAGTGTGTTATTGTGTGGGATGCCAAGAGCTCATGTCTTGAAATGCTCTTGTGATTTGATCTCTTGTGTCCAGCAGGAGCAGCTATCCTCTGTCATTTCCGATAGCGCTGGTGGGTGCTTCTATATGGCTGCTTTACTTATTTCCTTTTTCTCTTCCTTTTATCCTGCCCAGTAAAATCCGCGAGCAGCTTGGGATGAAGCCTGTTGCTCCAAGGGAGAAGTTTGTCTCCTTGTGCCCTAGGCAGATGGAGGGGAACCGAAAGAAACGGGTGCGTGTGAGAACCTTTTCCTACTCTCAGTACTTCTCTCTGTGTTTTGTGCGTGATGCGCTATGCCACTGCTTTGAGCTAAGCCCTGCTGTGGTGCTCAAGTCAGGAACAGCTTGGTCCTGTTTCTTTGGAATGCTGCAGGTTCCTACAGGGTAAACTGGATATGTGTGAATAATTTGCTGTGCCTGTGCAGCAGCATGTGGCATGAGGGAGAGCTACCCTCACGACACTGGGGCCATTGCTGAAAACCTGGATGGGGATGGGGCATGGTGGTGGTGAAGTCAGAACTGTGCAGCTGCAGGAGCTTCGGTTGGATGGCACTGCTCCCATACAACCCTGATTTTGTTACCACCCCATAAAGGGAAGCCGCAGCAGTGCCAGTGTCCAGAGGGCAGCTCCACCTCACTATGCTGCTGCTGAGTAGTAGGAAGGAGTTGCAATCGCTCTCTCCCCTGGTAAAGCAGATCTTGACTACAGGGAAGAAGCTGCTGGCCAGCCTTGCTTCCTCATCCCATGGTTAATTCTAAGTAAGTGACCTGCCCTTGCAGTCTGGGAGGGGAAGGGCAGATTCATATCATATCATAACTGGAAGACTCTCAAAAGGTAGCCTGTTCTGACTCATGCATTAATTGACCTCATCCTGAGATATTTTGCCATAAGCAGCAGTAAACCAAGTGCCCCTGTTGAAAGATGCCTGGTCTTGTGGTGTTGTCCTGCAGATGGGATGGCATTGTTTTCAAGAGTAGTCGTTGCTGCAGATTATAAGCAAGGGAGTTCTGCCGCGTGTTTGGGCTTCTCAGAGGCATCTTGCTGGCCACTGTGAGAACAGTTTGTTGATCAAGATGAGCCTTTGCTCTGATCCATGTTTGTGTAAGAAAATTGAGAGGGCAAAGTATGGTCAATAATAATAATTTATTATTTATGCCCCGCCCATCTGGCTGGGTTTCCCCAGCCACTCTGGGTAGCTGCCAACCAAATATTAAAAACACAATACAGCATTAAACATTAAAAACTTCCCTAAGCAGGTCAAGTACTAGTAGAGACTAGACTTTACCAAAGTAGTGAATTTCCTGATCCATTTTTGATCACTTTGTCTTGTGTGTCCTGGGTTAACAGAACAACATCCTCAATGCCATCATGATGCTCCTAGAAGAGCTTGATTCAGATGGACTAGAAGTTGTCCATCAAACAACTGGGAACAAGCTCCAAGCCTTGCAGAAGAAGGAACTCCATGAGGACCGATAGCGAATCTGAGGCAGCTGTTTCGTGGATCAGTGGAACTAGCATCACCAGCCCTGGCTGCTCCATCCCTGTGCTGTTGGGCTTAGTCTGGGGATGTGCTACTGAACCCAGGAAGAAACGTCATACATTCCTTGTGCATCATGCACTCGGACCATGCTCTAAGGCACGCTTTCCTCTGCAATCACAACGTGTGTGCCTGCATCTATGCAACTGCTACCCAGCAACCTGCAAAAGCCTTTGACAGTGGGGGCAAACAAGTGTACACCGAATTACAGCAAGTAGTTGTCACATGGGAAAAGGGGTCAGCATCTGTGGCCCTGCCTTCTCCTTAGTGCCTCCCCAGTAGAGGAAGAAAATCACTCCTCGTCGTGCTTCAGTTGTGAATCTGTCAGCTGAAGCTGCTGATCTGTTAGCATAGTCTTAATACTGGAACACAAATCCCTATGATGCCGCCATCCTCCTGCAGTCAGGAGCTTCTGATCCTTGATCTCAAGGACTGAGACATTTTTTTTAAAAAAAATCATTGAACTTCAAATTTAGTGGCAAACTTCTAGGCTTTCTCTTCACCTTTCCTTCTCTTCTAAATAGTGATTTGGACTTAACAAGAATGTCACCTGTAGTCAGAATTCTGGATTTGTATAATGGAACATCTTGTTTCTTACTTGATTAGAATGCGGTCTTGCACCTTTTGGATATTGCCTTGACTTTCTTCTGCAACTTGCTTGCTTAATCTTCACAGTAACCTAAAAAAAGAGAAAAAGCAAGTTTACTTAGTTGTTGTGACAGAAGGAACAGGGGAGGTGGGGTTGATGGTATATAGTTCAGGAAGTGTATTAAAGTCTGAATCCAACAACAATACAGACTTTGTCTCTGCTCAATATAGTATTGGCTCCGTTGTGTTTAGTCTGTCAAGCTGCATCTGGTGCACAGCAGCACACTTTAAGTGGATGCTGCTAAGTAACTTACAGGTAGTGTGTTCTTACTTGTAATAGGAAGCTCTTAACTACAGTATCTAAAAGAATAATATTTTTTCCTAATAATTCTGGTTACAAATATGTCTCAACCAAGGGATCTGTTTTCTCTGATTACATATAAAACACAGATCTGATATTTCTACACTCCACCTCTGGATAGATGGCACCAATTGAGAATTGCTTACTTTGTAGTGCTGGTTTTCTCTCCTGCCTTTTTTTTCTGTTTCTGTGTCCCTTGGAGTGGATGGACGTTACACAGGTACAAGCAAGCTCTGAGTTCTCAGCCTCAGAGGTAGGCCCAAAATGCTACTTTTGGCAAGTCACGGCCACTTTTTCCTGCACAAGATGTTATATGTGACATCAGGTGCAGGAAAGTTCAAGCTGTAGTTTCTGAATCTTCCTTTGCAGGCAAAATTCGGCACTTTTTGTTTTTGACACCTTTTTCTCTTCCGCACAGCAAATTCAAAAAGCTGTGGCTTTAGAAAGTGCTCCCCGTTCTTCCTCTGCAGTCCTAGGTTGAAGTTACACTCACCTGATACCATATGGCAAGTGGGTGTCCACACCCATCTGTCAAACTGACCTGTAAAGGGCTGACCCCTTTGGTTCTCCACCCCTGTCCTAAGCAATAAGACTTGTTTGAAGAAGCAGTAGCAATGACTCTCAGGGCATGGAGAGGGCAGTGTTCACAAGGTTTTAAGCCACGGGTGCCAGCCTCTGAATGGCTCGCAGTTTGATAGCGACACAACTAGTAAGGAGCTACTTGTGGAAAAACTGAGCTGAAGGCAAATGTGCCAACCAGCAAAGCCTGAGTAATACCAGCTGAGTATTCTCTGAGGAATCCAATTTCTCTTTTGAGATCTGTGTTGCAGTAGAAATCCAACATCTTGTAAAGGATGTAGGTTCATCACAGGAGAGACCATTTGTGAAGTAATACTGGTTTACCCTAGTGCAAGTATTTCACTGTATTCAAAGGAATGCTTAGCATAATTACGTAATACAATTAGCTGTTAGAAAGCCACTACCAAAACACAACTACCAAAATCATAATGCCCGTGTCATAATCATAACAAATCTATTATGCGCCCATAGTTGGAATACGGTGTCCAGTTCTGGAGAAATAATATTATAGGGCTGGAAAAAGATGCAGAAAGGGGCAACCAAAATGACCAAGGGACTAGAGCAACTCCCCTATGAGAAAAGGTTCCAAAGTGGGACCTTTTTTTAAAAAAGGCAAGTGGGTAGGGACATGATAAGTGGGGTACCAGCCCAAGCTGGTAAAAGATGGTGGAGCCGCTATAGCTACTTTACTTACAGTGACAAGGATGGATCAAGGAGCACCTCAGATCTATGCATTCACAAATGCAACCCTGCCCAGAACATGCATTATTGCCCAGTCCCTGGGTCCACAAGATTTGTCTTTTAAGGATATGGCTTCTTGGTCTTCATCACTGCTTCAAGGCGCTGGTCCAGACCTTGCATGGCACCTCCTGATTTGGGTACAACAGACAAACAGCTGAGTATCATCAGTGTACTGGTGACGGCATGCTCCAAACCTCCTATATGCCAAATAATATAGGCATGTATGGACTGTAATCCTTCGGCACTTACTTAGGAATATACAACTCTGAAGGAACTAGATCAGTGTTTCCCAAACCTGGGTCTCCAACTGTTTTTAGACTACAATTCCCATCATTGCTGACCACTGGTCCTGCTGTAGCTAGGAATGATGGGAGTTGTAGTCCAAAAACTATCTGGAGACCCACGTTTGGGAAACACTGAAGTAGATTTCTTAGTAGATGTGCCTAGGATTGGGCTGCAAGATAAGACATTCTCTTGGACTGCATGGACTAAAATTTGCTCCTGCAGGCTGACTCATCTGTGTTCCAGTATAACCATAATCAGCATAAAACGGTTTTATACTGAACTGTCACCCTGAAGAATATCTCATTCTTCTTTAGAAGTGGACTGTAAAATGAACCTCGATATGTCCCAGGGTAGCCTCTTCTAGGGTGCCAGGAATCTGAAATCGGTTACAACCAGACTAATGAGCCATAAAAGAGGACTTGCATGCTATTTTGTAATTCTCCACACTGGCAAAGATGTATTTGTTCACTTATTTTAATTGCTCCTACTCATGAATCTCTAATTGACTCTTCTTTTGAGGTTTGTACTAATAACTGTAGAGAAAAAAAATGCAGTTTTAGGTCTGCAATAAAAAAAGAGAGAGAAAACATCAAAGACTCCAGTCGAGTTTGTGTTGAAGTACCAGCAACTGAAGGCACTTTCAAAAGGGACAGCAGGGACAGTTCTTAGTGCAGGGTGTATCAATTGTGAATGCCGTTAATGTGTTCTGGAAAATAGAATAGGGCTCCTTAAAAATCAAAAGCTATGTTCCAATCAGTGTAGGTTTTACTAATGTAGGAAATATAGGTTATGGGAAAAGTTTATTTCATTATAGCTTTCTCTGAGTTTTGGGGGTATTGTCTCGTTCTCTGTGTTTGCCAAATAACTGAGAAGCATAGAGAAGATCCTTGCTCCCCTCCCTGAACACAAAACCAGGCTTACCTTCTTACTGTCTACAGCATAAAGTGTGTTTATAGAACATATGTGAATGTTATCTTTGTACAGCAGGTGAGTTTTACACATGCTCTATCTTCCTCCATTCAGGAAAGCAGGAGGCACTATCAGAGTTCAAGGCCACAATCCAGCTATGTGAAAACACACAAAGAGGGTGGAGAGTAGGGCTGGAGAGGGTGTGTGGCTGAGGTAACTCTAGGGGGAGCTGCCATATTTGCCCTTAGGAAACCCGCCTCGCCCCCCCCCCACTGCTTTAAGGAACTGCAAAGCAGCCCTGTGAGCAGTGCATATTAAGTTTATACCAGATGCTAACATGAGTGTAGACTAGTGCTGAAAGAGGGAGGAGCAGGTGCGCCTGAATTGATCTAGTTGTCTCCAAAGCGACAGCAGAGATGTTTCATGTTGTCACTCTTTTCCATGCAAGCAATTGTTCCACCAATTGCTTTTATGCTTTGGCCCTGGTTGTGAGAGCAAACCAAGCAACTTGCCCATCATCTCTGCACAGTAGTTAACTTCACATAGACACAAGATCAGGTTTTGCAAACCAGAGCAGTGAGCTGATGACTCTGAGGATCAGCCTGTTCCCACTTGGGAGGATGAGGCTATCCACCACCTGCCAACTTGACTGACCTCATTTAGAGAATTCTGGTACATCCTTGGGTGCTGTGCTGTGCTTATCATTGTACATTCCTTTTGATGAACTTCTTGTTCCTATGTGGGCCCAGCATAGAACACTACCTTGAGTCCTATGGATCATCCCCCCCCCCCAAAAAAAAAACAACCTGTACTAAATAATTAGGAATGACTAACAATTTCCCTCTTGCATAGTCCAGGGCCTAGTCATCTCAGTAGTTTTTGACATCCACCAGAAATCCTAGGGAAAGTGCAACTGAGTTGGCTGGTTAATTGTCCCAACATGGTGTGCTATGAGTACGCTGCATTGTAATCTCACTGGGATTTATGTCCAGAACCTGTCATGTTCTTCCTGGTGATGTGGGTGTTAAAACAGCTACTAATGCATTCCCTGAGCCAGGCACCGGGAAAGGTATGAGATTCTGCCTGTGTGTAATGTAAGACACAACCCATCTATTGATATTTGATCCTAAATGTCTTGTAATTCTGGAAGTGGTGGAAGAAAGCATTCCAAGGGTGGCATGGAGTAAGGAAAATGTTTAGAAAATAACAGGTTTCTTGGTCTAGGGGTATGATTCTCATTTCAAAGAAACACAGAACTGAAGCGTTGGAAGGGATCTCCAGGGTCATCTAGCCCAACCCCATGCAATGCAGGAATCCTGTCCACAGCCATCCCTGGGTGGGCTCAAACCACCAACCTTCTTGTTAACTGCCAGACACACTGACCCATGGCGCCACACGTGTGCGGTTCTAGGCTGACATTCCTGACACGCTATTCTTATCAGGGATGGGCCATGGCTTAGTGGAAGAGTACATAGCTCAGGGCACAGGCTTAGCAGGTCCCAGGTTCAGTCCTTGACATCTGACTGGATCTGTCTGAGACCCTGGAAAGCTGTTGCCTGCCAGAGCAGACAATGTTTGAGGGACAAACAGTGTGATCTAGTAAAAGAAAATTTCCCATGTTCTTATGTCTTCATCATGAGGAGACTAGAGGCAGAAGACCCATCACCATTCCTGTCTCTCCATCATCATGTTCCAACTTCTCCCCCAATGGAGAACTTAGGGTGCAGAAGGCTGATATTCCAGCACAGGACAGCATCATTCCTGTTAGCCCATCCCATGCTGTGAGGTCAGAGACAGTTTCCCCAAACAGGAAAGAGAATCAAACCGAAAACACACACAGGCTTGGTTCATTGATTTCTTTTAATGTACTTCTAGAAGTCACAAAGCTGTGGCACAGACAAATACAGGCAACACAGGACACTGAGTTCACAGAAGTGTATTGGGAAGAGTACGCAAAACGGGTGCCACCATCGCAGCTCTAGCCAGGAAGATGGCTCAGTCAAACCAGTCACACAGCGTGGAGAAGAGGGTTTTCCCATGCAAATCCACGACACACTGGGCAACTCCAGCCCAGCATTCAGACATGCTGCCATGTCCTGGTTGGCATGCATCACCCCAGTGAGGGAAGGTGGGGCAGGGGAAGAGAGGAGCTGCTCCACTGCTTACTGCTACTTTGCAGTATGCCGCCGACATACTTCTGCTAGACAAGATCTTTGTGCTGGATGTTAACATGATAGCAGCAGAAGTTCTTGGTCCCAAATCAGACCCATCATTTGTCTTACAGTACTCCCCAAGTTGGGGAGGCACTTGGGGACCTCACATTCTCTGTGACTCCCATCTAAGGGACACCCCCTTCTGGACTCCTGCAATCTCCATGGCACCAGGCCCAGAAAGAATCTAAAACCAATCCCCATTGTCCATCTGATTATTGAGTACATGATTCTTTAAATAGTGTCTGAATAAAAGAGTAGCCTGGGAAACAGGGATGGACCCTTTCTGGAGTGACTGTGCTGCCTGGAGTGAATAGGCTCCAAAGAGGGAGCCATGGACAGAAGAACACTCACCCTCTTAGGCAGTGAGGAGTATACAGCAATGGGTATGGAGTGATTCCGAAATGTCAGCCAAGCTGGCCTCAGTCACACTCCTACAGGCTCACAGTGGCACCAGCACTGCACTCAAAAGGCTTGAGAAGGCCAGAGGAAGGGGGGGGAGTTGTGGGTGTGTGCAGGGAAAAACAATGGAGAACTAGTCTGGGGTGAGCAGAAGAGAAGATTGCAGCTAGAACCCCTTTTCGATGCTGAGCGTGCGACGGGTGACATGCTCAATCTTCCCAGACACATATTCAGTCAGGCTGATCTGGTAGTGGGCCAACATCTTCAGCATAAGGCGCAGGTTCAGCCACCACTGTTCCTTGGGAAGCCTGTGCCTGCAAGAAAGGAGGGGGAAAGCGAAGTCAGCACCAGGGTTCAATCTGAGCTGGGGCTCAGCCCTGGAATGCGTGATGTCGTTAGCAATAAACAGAGCAGCTCTGTGCACCTGTGAAGTCAATTCCCCTCTCATAGTTGGGGGAATTCAAATCTTTGCAAATTGCAACGGGAATTGACCCCAATCTCTACCTCCCAGAGGGATGTACAGATCAGATTCTGTGCTGAACTTCACAACACAGAAGGCTCAAAAAGTGTAGCAAAATGCGTATTTTACAATAAGGTATAATTACAAGTGTGTACTTTGATGGGAAAGCTTTCGCTAATGTTGTGGGGAAAAGAAATCCAAATATACATATTTAAACACTAAACATTTTCTCCTGAAGTTTTTTAAAACTCAAAGAGATTAATGCAGAAATGGGAGGGGATATGGCTGAACACATGTGAAACTGACACAGATCGGAAACAGACCGTCCTGCCCATATCCTTGTTTACAGGCAGCCTCCACCCATCTGTGGCTGTGGAGCATATCTTAAGTAAGAATTCATCAAGGGAGAGGCAGGCAAGGAACTTGCCCAGCTCACTTTGATGTTCAGTATGCTAAATTCTGAACATTTGACTCCCAGGAGGGATGAAAATGTCCCCACCGGCAAACAAGTCACAAGGCTGGCCAGCAAACAGAGAGTACCTCACCATTTCCCAAAATATCTGGGCACTTCCCACTTCCCTTAGAAAGGAAGCACAAAACAGAGCTAAGAGAACTGTAGTTAACGCCTCACAGCCATTCTGCCCACCAGTCCTTTCCATGAAAAGCACTGGCAGGAAGTGTCCTCCCTGCTCCCAGAATCTCACATTCCGTGACTCAGATGGCAAAAGAGGTGCCTACTTACTCAAAATCTGTGACTTTCTTGAGCTCAGTCACAGGGCTAAATGACACAGCCTTCCTCTTCAGGCCTATCACACAGGCAGAATCGGCAGAATTGGCAAATACCCGGCCTGTGGAAACAGAGAGGACTTTTACGTGTGGTGCCGAGAAATTCTGACGTCAACCAAACAGCTTGCCATTACTTGAGAAGGCCTGGATGTGGCTACCCTGGTTGTCTCCGGCAGAGAGCCAGTAGCTATAGAGGCTCCTGGAACCCCAGCAAGTCAACAGGACTCAGGAAAATTAGTTGCATACTGTTTTCAATGACTATGGGCACACACTGAAATACTGGTCTCGTGAGCAGTCCCCACAGAGCACTCAGTGGCTTCAAAGCACAAGCACAGCAAACCAAGGAGGCCTCACTTTAGGATGGCATCCTCCTCCGAGGTACAGGCAAGGTGCCTCAAATTACAATGGTTCCCTGGGGCGCCACCCTGCACAGTCCTGGCTAGGCCCTGGCAGGGAATGGACCATCTCTCATGGTAAGGGGGAAGGCACATGTGCACAGCAGCCTCCTGGCATTTGTCCCTTACTGAAGGAGCAGTGGTGCTTCACCCAACTCCCTTAATCCCTCTCCTCGGTTGATTAGCAACCATAAAAGTGGTTGACAGGCAGATGGAGGCATGGTGCATTGAAGTTCACCTCATTCTGCCAAAGTTCTCCTGAGGATCTTCCCTATTATGAAACACCGGGGTGAATATTTCCGTTCCCAAGGTGATCCTCTCTGAACATACCCTTGCGGTAAACTTCCTTCAACTTCTCCGACATCCACAGTACAGCTTTCACACCCAGCTTGGTGCCGTAGTTGCGGTCAAAGGGGGTTGGGGCACC